GCATACATCTACAGTTCAGCATTTCAGTGACAGATAATCTATCTTTCTAAGAATGATTATAGTGTTATTTACAAGCACACTGGACCAACTTAAAAAAAAAGAAAAAGGAAAAAACTAAAAAGAAAGAAGAATGTGAGAGAAGCCTGAGTCTAAAAGTATGTATAATATTCATCAGCTTTTGGCTCAAGTTTTTCTTACATATGTGTGAGACAACCTAACTACTGTACAATATCAGTGACAGTCTGGGGAACTACAAGATGACTCCCAACAGGTATATAAACAAGTCTCTTAATGACAGACAACTGGCAGGGCACATTTCCCAGCCCCTGAGCTCTCTAAGAATGTGGTATGGGTCATTCTGAAAGCTGACGTATCTCGATCACTCGCCTTTAAGGTCACAATTCACCCCATTCACCAGTTTAGTCTCATACTGTGATGTCCCAAAACCTAGTAGCAAAAGAAATTGAGGGTTTATCAGAGCTTGGGTATATGGATTACAGGTTAACAAAGATAAAACCCTTTATTCTAACCTGTATTTAACAACCAAGTAGAATTTTTGTTGATGCAGCAGCTCTCACCCACAGCCCTAGTTGCACTTTTGAGAGATTGTGAACTCAGGGTGCTGTTTTCAAACAGATTAAGACTGTGTAAACTGGGGCTACTGTGCTCCCCTGCCTTGAGCTGACACTTTTGCAATGACCCAGATAAGGGACCTATTCTGACCAAAAACCAGAATTTTTGGTTTTTGGAGAAAAGAAATACTTCAGTGAATTCGAGATCCTTCTTTGTTAAACATTGTGTGATGTTTGACATCCTGTTTTAGTAAATAAAAACAACAAAACGGATTTATACCTGTTGGATGGATTTGTTTGTTTGTTTGTTTCTCTTACATAGTGCTTCATTCTCTCTGACTCAGAGAGACATATTCTGAGAAATTTATAAATCCAAAAAGTCCTGAAAAAAAAAATCACCCAATATCTATCATATATCCATTCTATTAAACTTTCAGTGGCTGATGCTGTTAGAGACTAAGAGAGAGACAGAACCACAGGGTCTTTGTGCACACTTAACATGTAACATCAAGGAACAGGGAACTAATTTACACCCGTCCTGAAGGATAAACTGCTGCTCAAATCACAAAAAGCAATGAAAATCAGGGGGGAACACTGTAATAAAAGCCAACTTGTAACATATCTGTCCATTTTAATATTTAACATATTATAAGCTATTTTAAATATATATTTAAACTACAGTATCATACCTACAGAAATCTCCGTTTCATTTCTGCTCTGTAAAGACAGCAATTATCTTGTGCAGTGCATACATTAGGAAACTCCCATTCAATAAATGAAGTTCTTTCATATTCTAGGTACACCTAGCCAAAAGGTTGAAAACACTTGCTAGAGTGTCCAAATAATTTGTGACAACATATAAAAACATTATAATGTTCTCAATCTTATTTTTATAATGATAAAAAATATTAACCAAAATAAAAAAGTAACAAAAACAATTAAGGGACATTTTAACGGGAAAAACTAATTTAAAAATAGTAATAACAAGCAACAAGCAGGGTTCAATTACATTAGCATACTCTCCAAATAAAATTATGTATGTCCTAACTGCATAATGATTTCTCTTCCTCCTAAGCTAAGCTGACAGCATTCTGGAGAGTTTGAAGCACTACAGATGCCAACTGTGTCTGGCACAGTGATTCTTAGACTTCTTTTGACTATGACACTATCAATACCTAATATTTTTTTGTGAGTCACTCTACATCTTAACATCAAATTAAATGAGAAAAATGCTCTAAAGGTGCTGTAAATAATCAGGAAGTAAAACTAACTTACATTTCATTGAATGTTTTAATGATATAAGTGAAAAACTTCAAAATTTTATTTTTTATCACAGTTCTGTAGGGCATATGCAGATTAGCTAACCATGGCCCACAGACTACTTTTCTGCAACCACTGTTCTAGTGCAGATAAGACCTCAGTGTAAAGTATCTGTGTAATACATCATTGTCACAGGCAGAACCAATTTTAACAGAAAGCTCCTACCACGTGCCCTGACATTTTCATTGCCAACGGTTATTTCTTCAATCTATACTTTTCCTGAAACTCAGAAATTGCTTACACTAGGAGAAACAGTATCAAAAAAGTATTAACATCACTCAGTAGTCCTTCAACACAATTAAGAAGTATTATTAAGGAGAAAGAAATAGCCCACTATGACCCATCAGCCATTAGCTAATAGTCCAGCTGGCCTTCTTGGTTGTTACAGCATTTTCCCTTTGTTCATGCTTACTTTTGATTTACTGGAGATCTTACCCAAATTCTCCTCTAAACTACTTTGTACGTAATTTTTTAAATGCACAATCAGAATATGTGGAATGCTTTGTCAATATAACTGAAAACATGTAGATGTAACAATTCTACGTATAACTTTGACACATCTGAATGAAATGCATCTCATACTGCTTCTGTTCAGCATTTATAAAAAGTTCCTGAGTCTCTTGCAATTTATTGGGAGGCAGTCACACAAAAAGCCTGAATGTACCCAAATTAGAATGAAATTTGTGATAAATGTAACTTTCTAGTTTTTCATACCTAGTCAATAGCATTGAAGAATCCAGAAGACAATACAACCTAAACTTTATCAGTGTATGCTTCTACCATGGATTCAGCTTCACAAAGTCAATCCTATGTACTATCTTGCTGATGTCAGAAAAGGCATTGACATTCCTTCATTCCTCGAATGTAACTCTTGCTGCTTTGTGCCACCTCTAAATGCCCACCTGACCTCTCACAGAGCAGACTCAGCTTGCCCAGGTAGCAAAAAAAGTGTGTTAGAGGGAAAACCCAGCACAGTACCACTGCATGCTCTTGCTGTTTTTCTTGCCTATAGTGAGTGAACACAAGTGCAATGCCTGTTTTTGGTAAGGGGCATTAGACACCAGTTGTGTTTGTGCTTTGGTCAAGAGTTACCATGTTTTAGAACTATATTATACAGTTAGTGAGTCGTATCAATAAAGAGTATTTAGTATCTTTTAGTATTAGAATGAAAGCTTGCCTTCGGTTTGCAAGGAAAAGGGGGTGGATGATGGATGCAGTTAATACCATATATTAAATAAAAATTCTCAACCCAACAGTACCAGTCAGTACTGATTAACTTGATCTTCATTAAATACTTAAAGGTTTTCTTGAAGTGGAGTGTTTGTAGCTTTCTTCCCTATCAAGGCACCATACTAAAACATAATCTCAGAGCTCTTCTACACCATAAAAATAGCAGAACAATGGATTCCTGTGCCTGAGACTCTTTGGAAAGTGACATTACACTAATACCACATTACTGGGACACTATGAGAGGCTCGAATTTATTTTGAGATCCGAGGGAATATTTGCATTGGCAGCGGTGTGGTGTTAATATGATTCAGCTATACTGGAAAATCACATCCTGAAACATTAATCTTGACCATTGTTTGGGGAGTGGTGAGATGATCGATGGCCTGAGAAGTGAGTGCACTAAAACAAAGTTTGCCATTGTGTCAACCAGACTGGAGAAACTGATTTCAGCAGCTCCTTGTGGCTTTTAGTGACTCCCACAAGCAGTGTCTATATATTTTTTTTAGTATAAGCAGACAAAATGTGGGCTCTTAAGGTACCTTTAAGGAACTACACTCTTTAAAATGTATACACACAGTTGCCTCTCATCATTTGCAATTGCTCAACATTTTTGTTCTGAACTGACTACTTGGTCATAGAATCTCTCTGTACTGACATTCAGGACTTAGATATTTTCAGTTGTTTAAAAAATTGCTGACGACTTAGTATTTAATTATCTGTTATATGTCTTCCTTGCTTTAGAAGATGCAGTTAAACTTTTCTCCAGTGGCTTTTATAGATCCCAAATTTCTTGGTTGGAGTAAATCTGAAGGAGCAAAGCAACTAAGATCAAGCACTACAGCCCGCCAGACAGCTGCAGACTGTGACTGTTCAGTGACTCAGGTCTTTGAATAACTGTCTTAGCAATAATTACATCATTCTGATTTTTATGTCTTTTTAATAGCTACTTTACCAAGGGAAAAAAAAAAAAAAAAGGCTTCCCCTAGGGTTGTTGGTTCTGTGAAGCAGGAAAGAATGAAAACAGCCGCTGAGGCATCAGTTCCACTTCTAAGGACACACGATGAAATGTGTGTACTTTCTCTGCTATGGGTTTTTCCTTTTTTTTTTTTCTCATGAATAAGCTTGAGGCCATGTTCCGGTGTCTCTGGAGATAATGAGAAAATGGCCTCTCACATTCACCCCCTGGCTCCCCAAACTTTAATTTACACTCTTGTGATCGTTAATCCAGCAGCACCAAGGACGCGGGCAGTGGTCCGACACGCTGCACACACGCAGCGCTGACACCCGTGACAGGGGCCGCAGCCCCGCCGTAGCTGAAACCCGAGGGCTAACGGGCGCCAGCTCTGGGGAACGGGCACAACATCTGCGCCCCCGGTCTCCTCCTTCCCCCCTGCCAAGCGCCGCCGCCATCCCGCCCCGGCCGCCCCGCCATGGCCGCCCCCGGCCCCTCCCCCTGGTCCGGCTCAGCCGCTGTGGCCGCGGGGCCGCCCGGGGCAACCGCCGGGGCGCCGTCCTGCCGCAGGTGGCCCACGGGAACTACGCGCCCCAGCGTGCACTGCGCCTGCCTCCCCGCAGACCTCCGCGCGGGGAAGGCCGCGCGGCACGCTGGGTAATGTAGTCGCGGCCGCGAGGCGCGGAGGGAGTGGCAGGAGGAAAAAAGGCGTCCGGGGGCAGTGGCGGCTTCGGTTTTTCGCGAGAGTGAGAGGGGACCTCTGGCTGAGAGCAGAGGTGTTGGGCTGGCGGGGAGCGGCGGGGCAGGCCAGGCCGGTAGGCGGCGGCACCACCTGGCCGCGGGAGCGGCGGCACCGCCCGCCCGGCCGGCGGGGAGGGGAAGGCGGAGGCGGAGGCGGGGGGAGCGGAGCCGCCGCGCGCTGCCGCATGTGCCTGGAGCGGCGCCGGAGCGGGCAGCGCGAGCCATGGCGGAGCACGGCGGCCCCGCCATCCCCAACGGCGAGTGCGCCGCCCGCCGCCCCGGCAACAGGGTCACCGTCGTGCTGGGCGCGCAGTGGGGCGACGAGGGCAAGGGCAAGGTGGTGGATCTGCTGGCGCAGGACGCCGACATCGTCTGCAGGTGCCAGGTGAGGAGGAGGAGGAGGAGGAGGCGGCCGGGGGCTCGGGGGAGGCCGCGGGTGTCACCTTGACCCGCCGGGCGCTCGTGCCCGCCACCGTTCTGCCCCCAGCGACCGGGGAGGCGCAGGGCCGGGGTCGGCGGGGGCTGTGGGGCTTTCGCCGGGGAAGGCTCCGCTGCCCTCCAGCCCTCCTGCGCCTTCTTTGTCCCGGCGCCGGGGGAAGAGGAGGAGGAGGAGGAAGGCGCCCTCCTCGTCGCCCAGAGCTGGCCCCTGGCAGGAGGAACGCGCCCGGGATCGCGTCCTCCCTTCCCTCAGGCTTCCCATTCTTTGTGTCGGGGAAGGGGCCGCGCTCGGCAGCTCCCGCAGCATCGCCGCGGGTCCAGGATCCCGTTGCCGGCTGTGTCGGCGGGAGCCCTCCCGGGCCGCGGCGCCGGGAGCTGCGCGGAGCCGAGCGCCAGTTGCAGGATGCACGTGGGGGGATCCCTGTAGTCTGCCACAGCTCGGGCTCATTCGGCCAAAACGAGGTGCTAAAGGACTCGCCTGCCCTTTCTTTCGAGATTGTTGTGTCAGTGGAATCCTACAATTAGGTGTTTGTTTATTTATTTGTAATTTTTCTTCTCTGTGCTGAGGCCTTATTCCAGCAAAAGAGGGAAAAAAAAAAAGACATGAAACCAGACGAGTCTAGCCTACAAGCACAGTAGTCTTAAATGCCTACGTTAAAACAACACAGATCTGAGGAGATGTTATTTTTTTTAACATCTCTAGTGTAGTAGTGCTGTAGAGTACAACACAATGAGCTAAAGCCTTGCACGGTTTTTTTCTTAAAGTTAAGAGATACAGCAGCATAAAATGCCCACAGCACGTGCAGGCTTCGTGTAAGTGTTGTTATCTGTGTGCTTTCGTTGAATGCACAATTTAAATTTTCTCCTAAATAAACATATTTTGGAAGAGCATACCATTCCCCAGGGAGCGCAGACGCTGAAGAGATGTTATCCAATGAGAACTGCACATAGACTGGTGTTTTCAAAAACAAGTCCTTGCAAACCTGACAAATCAATACCTTGAACTTCAGAGAATTTAATTTTGAAGTAAACAAACATATTTCTAAATAATGTTTTCACAGATGAAATTTTTTTTCCCCCTTAGATCGTGGGGTTTTTTTTAAATAATCTGATTTGGTGCTGGGGCATGACTGCCTGGCTTTGTGGGTCATAGAACAGAGTGACTCAGTTCGTCCTTTATGACTTTGTTCTTGAGACTTGAAGGGCACCTATGTGAGTGTGTATGTTTAATGCTAGGAAGTTTTGGAGGAGAAACAGAGAGGCAAACAGAGAATTTCTGTGTGCATGTCTTAGTGTATTTGTTACTTGTTTTGAATCCACTAGGTAAAGGATCAAGAAAAGGGAAAAATTATGGTGTTATTTCAGGCTTGAATTTCCTGGCCAGTTCTGCCATTTCTAACAGCTTGTTGCTTCTGATGAAGGAAGGAGTTTTTCTTCCTCTTTTCTTCCCTTTCCTGTTGATGACTGTGCTCCCCGAGTCTCCTCCCATGCACTGGCTCTGGCACTTGAACACTTCTGTAAGTTGATTAAACTCATCAGAGTGGCAGGAAACTCTTTTCTGTAGGATTTACTTGCTATGGTTTTAGTAAATAAAACTGAACTTTATTGGCTTAGAGGACTTTGGTGAATAGAAGAGCCCAGGACAGGGTAAGCACAAAGAACAATTTCTCAGAATGAGAGGGGAAAATAGGAATATTTTCTTTCAGTGGTACTGAGCTATTAAATAAATTTATTGTTAAATTATTAAATAATTTAATATTATTAGATAATCTTTTATGTGTGCGAGCATATTTGCGATGCTTTTGTTACTACTGGTAAATCAGAGTGTGACCCTTGCGCTTTTTGTAGTGGTACAAGTCCAGAAAGAAAAATCACAACACACTTGGTTTGGCCCTTGCTAATATCAGCTTTCCATAACTGGAGCTTCTGATCCTTATTTCAACGCTATACTCTTACGTATTCCAGGACAGTTCTTTCTGTTCATCATGCCAGAGTTGCTAGAATGCCTGTGGATGACGTCACATATTTCCAGCGTGTTCTTCTGGAAAATTTATTAGTACATCTGTTGGGGGACTAGGGAAGTTGTTGTAGCAGGTCTAAGATGTCTTAGAAACTTGGGTTATGCTTGCAGTGAAGCACTCTAGGGTTGAGCGCACTGTCCCTTGTTCTGGGCAGATGCAAAGCATTAAAAAGGTCCTCCCGCAGAAATGAGAAGCAACTTATTGCTTAATTTTACAATGCCTGTAAAGGCATTCCAAGAAGTTGTACTCTCAAATAAATCTATGGCTATGCCTTCTTGTCTCCTACATAGCAGGTGTGCTAATGATTCCAGTGATTTGTTTGATTGACTAGCTGTGGCATTTGGAACCAGGTCCTTGCTTAGGCGCAGTTAGCTGAATGTGTGTCAGGAAATAAGTTACGATATGACTACTTACTTCTTCTAAACACTACCCTCCCAAGTATTTTGTCTTAGATTTAGAGTTTGTGGAAAGGAGTCTTGTGCTCAGAGAAAGTGAATGGTATTTTCTTTTCAGGAGACAGTTTTGTATTTATCAGAATTAATATTACGGTTTCAAATCCAATTGTTTGAAGAGGCTAAGCTAAAGTTAAAATAGGTCCAAGGGGCCGCATGTTGTTTCTAATGCTGTGGCACTGGCAACTGTGTTAGTTTTGTGAAAATTTTGCTAGCACCAAGGGTTCAGATGCAGTTTAAACAAACATGTCTGTATAACGTGCTTGTTCTTCTACTGTAAAATTTGAACTGGTCTTGATTTACCTCCAAGAGGTATCTGGTAACACGATGGTGTTGATAAAACAAACATGTTGGTGAGACTTTTGCCCTTAAACTTACATCTTGTTTTCAGTGGCTTAAAAAACAAGGTCTGTTTACCTGCTATCACATAAATCATAGTCCAGAGAGTAAAATAGAACAAGAACTGGTTTGAGATTCACAGATAGTTGCCAGAGAAATTTTTGGTTTGTGTGTTTTGATCGACATAGTTTTCTCTGAGTAAGCAGCTAACCTTGCTGCCATCAAACCTGGAAATTTTGAAAGTATACGCTGTATTTTTGTCAATTCCCCAGGTAATGGAAAGTTAAAGGAAAAAGTTTCCTATTCTGATTAAGGGACTTCCTCACCATTGCAGAATGCAACCAAATTGGGAAATTAATTACCACGTTTCATTCATTTGTGGGAATGATGGAAGTGACAAATTAATGCAAACAAATTATTTTAGATAATAGTTTTATCAAATACGGTACCAGAATATGCTATATGTCTCTTGTATTAACATCACCACTCCCACCCAATCTACCAATGTAAGCCATGCAGCAAAATATGTAATGTCTGCACTGCTTGAATCTGTTCTCATTCATTCATTTCATCAACAAATTTTTGTTCACTTCCTGTTCTTACTGTTGGAGGGAGCTGATTTATTCAGAGAACATAATTGACAGAGGTAAGATTGCTAAGCCTCCACATTGTTTCTATGCCATGTTCCCCATGCTAAAAAATCCCATTTTCCTGCTTCTTCAGTTCTGTTGTACATCTTGTTGCTACTTCTAAACAGATATACAGCTTCTTACCACATCTTCTCATCCGGTTTCAGTGGGGTCTGCCTGCTGTGGGGTCACACAATTCGTACTCCTGAAGTGCTAAGCAATGTGTGAAGTCTTTATACTCCCTTTTCCTCTTCCTTCTGCCCCAATAAGACTGTTTAGTAACACCACTGTTGATGACTTTTTATGTGGCAACTGCAGTGCACGATCTAGAGAAGTCTTCAGTGTGCAGATCCTTGGGGTTAAGCAGTTACCATCGACCAGCTGATAACTGCTGACTGAAGTCCTCACACCAATGCTGCCTGATACCTCCATATCACTAGTCTGTATATGGCTACTTTTTTTAATCTTCCATTCTCCAAGCCCACTGTTCTTCTAAATATTCTCATTTAAAAAAGTGTTTTAGTCTAAAGCTTATGGAAACCATGCAGAATTAGGAATAGCAGAATCAATAGCTGTAGCTATTAGTGCTTTTTTTAGCTGCTCAGGCATTTAGTAAGTGATGCCTAGCTAGAGCTTTCTTTTTTTCTGTGCTGGGTGCACTTTTGGACCTTGTAGTGGTTGGCAATGTGCCAGTGATATGCTCTGGTGAGGAGAGAGGTCAGTAAAATGAGTTCTTTGGCCTACTCCATCAGTGAGTCATATGCTTTACAGACCTGCTTTAGAGCATCACTGACAGGTGATCTCTTGTTATTGTAAACAACCACACAAAGTCTGCGTTATTTTAAATACAACAACAGTTGAAATCTGATTTTCCAGTTCATAAAGTTTGTACAATTAACAAAGGTAGCCTTAAGAGCACTGAAGAGCAAATTACACCTTGATCTACTGATTTCTTATTGCTCTTTCAATCTTACTGTTATTACAAAAGCTTAATGTACAAAAGCTTAATTTGGTTGGTTAAGATGCAGTAATCTGTAGCAGCTTATTAAGATTTCAAATGCATTTTTTTATTTCTACTATACTACCTCACACATTTGGAAGGTGTTCTCTGTAAGTATTCACAGAGTCACTTTTTGGTTTTGATATCCTTTCTCAAATGTTCTTGTGACTGTAGCAAACATTGGTGGGGTTTTGTGCACTGAAGCAACGCAGTGCTGGGCATATCTGTGCTTTGAACATTTTCTTGTTCCTGATTTGCCTGCCTCACTTGATCTCTTCTATCTCTTTGGGATAAATTGGTCTTTATTCTGGACTTGAATAATGTCTCCTCTTGGCTACCTAACATATGCAGGCATTACAACAATATAAAGTTTTGCAAGTGAGATAAAATAAAGCCAAAACCAACTCTAAAGAGTCTTTCTGAATATTATCTTTCAATAGCAGTTCATCAGAGCTAATTCTGTCAGTACAGAGAAATGGATGGAGTTTCTTGAGATTAATACACTT